AGCTCTTCTCCGGGCTCAAACAGAGGCCGGAGACAGGCTTGCCCTCGCACAGCGCCTCCCAACCTTGGTTGGAGGCATCTGTGAAAATTACCTTCCTCCTGAAGGCCACGCCCATGGTCACGCCTGATTGGTACCAGTTTTGGCCTTTCCAGGGGACCAGAGCTCTTATGCAGCGCTGGTTCACCGTAATGTGCAGGCGCCACGCATGGGCTGGCACACGGCGCTTTAGCCAGTGCTGAAGGCGGTGCATATGCAGTAACCTTAGCTGGAGTACTGACGATGCCGCGGCCATGAGACCAAGAAGCCTCTGAAACTTCCTGAGGGGCGTGCGCGCACCTACCCTGAAGGAGGCTATCAGCTGTTGGAAAGAAAGAACGCGCTCTGGTGTGAGCCGAGCTCTCATCAGTGTTGAGTCGATAACTGTGCCCAGAAAGGTTACGTTCTGGCTGGGTAACAGTTTGCTCTTGGGAAAATCGATCCTGAGCCCCAGGCATTCCAAATGACTGAGGAGCATTCATCTGTGTGTCAATAATTCGGTCTTCGACTGAGCCATAATGAGCCAGTCGTCGAGATAGTTCAGCATGCACACTCCCTGTTGCCTCAGGGGAGAAAGCACTGTGTCCATGCACTTCGTAAATGTATGGGGTGCCAGGGACAGACCGAACGGTAGGACCATGTATTGATAAACCTGCCCCTCGAAGGTGAATCTCAAGAATGGCCTGTGATTGGGCGTTATCTGAATATGAAAGTAAGCGTCTTTCAGATCCACCATAAAAAAAACAATCCCCCGGGCGAACCTGCGAGAGAATTTGTTTGGTAGTTTTCATTCTGAATGGCCGTCTCATGAGGGCTTTGTTCAGATGTCTCAGGTCTAAAATGGGGCGGGTGCTGCCGTCCTTTTTTGGTACAAGGAAGTAGCAACTGCAAAACCCTGATCGGTACACTAGATTGTGTACTCCGGTGCGAAGCACGTGAGCCACGTCGCTTTTCACCGAAGTCTCGATGACCGCCTGAAATCCCGGGGGTCTGCGAGCGATTTGGAGCAAGTAGCATCGCTTTATAATGTTCAAAACCCAGTTCGACACTTCGGGGATGGCTTGCCAGGCCTCGGCCCTTGTGGCTAGGGTTTGAATGAAACATGGGGCTGGGCCGCCTGGCATGGGTGACCCCATAACCTTGTGTTGTGTTTTGTGCACATATTCTCTTTGGGCCTGGCTTGACAGGCCTTGGCCCGGCTGGACAGAGATAGAGTGACAACTGGGGGAGGGCCACCTAGAAAAGGGGGACCGGTTACCCGGATGTTGTGTGTTTGAAACATACTCTTTGTGTGCTTTAATTGAGTCGCTGTAAAAACACGTTGCATGCAGTGCGACGGGCCCATTGACTACAATAGGAAAATCTCCAGCTGCCTGAGCTAAAGTCTTAGATCTTTGAGTTCAGCGTGCTCTTAGGGCGGTTCGAGGCAGAGCTGGAGCGCTTGAGCAAGAAGTGTCTCATAGCTTGAGTAGACTTCTGTGCTTCTGTGAATCGTTCAGAAAACCCTTTCACAGCCGGGCCGAAGAGACCGGTGCTGGAGATAGGTGGAAAGTACTTTCAGGAATCAAGGAAAGCAAGGAAAGCCGTCCTGTCCGCCTCTTTAATGTCTGTAATTCAGCCAGAGATGGCGCTCGAGCATGACGAGGTTAGCCATGCCTCTGCCGAACGCTTGAGCAGTAGCCTTCGTAGCGCGCAGTGCTAGGTCTGTGGCGCTGCGTAGGTCTCAACATGCATCAGGGTTCGGGCCAGACTCGTCCAATGTTTGGAGATGTTTGAAGAAAAACCTGTAACACCACCATGGTGTGTAGAGCTGATACAGCCTGACCGGAAGCTGAGAAAGCGAGTCCAGCGAGGGCTGAAAGTGTTTCGGCAGGGCTTAGAGGGGTGTACCGCTCTAGATCTCCAACCAGCAGCAGTGGGCGGGCAGAGATGAGCGGCGACTGCTTCCTCGAGAGGAGGCAGCTTCTCATAACCTTTTTCTGCTGCGCCGTCAACAGAGGAGAGCGTAGCGGAAGTACACTGAACAAAATTATAAACGCAACACTTTTGTTTTTGCCCCCATTTTTCATGAGCTGAACTCAAAGATCTAAGACTTTTTCTATGTACACAAAAGGCCTATTTCTCTCAAATATTGTTCACAAATCTGTCTAAATCTGTGTTAGTGAGCACTTCTCCTTTGCCGAGATAATCCATCCACCTCACAGGTGTGGCATATCAAGATGCTGATTAGACAGCATGATTATTGCACAGGTGTGCCTAAGGCTGGCCACAATAAAAGGCCACTCTAAAATGTGCAGTTTTACTGTATTGGGGGGTCCGGGGATCGGCGTATACGACAGCGTGTTCCAGGTCCTGCCAATATCCAGCAACTTCGCACAGCCATTGAAGAGGAGTGGACCAACATTCCACAGGTCACAATCAACAACCTTTTTTGAGGGGTTCCCCCCCGGACCCCCCGCAGCACGGCCAATGGGCGAGCTAGACGCTCTGTTGTGTTCGCTGTGCCGCTGCACTGCGTTTAAAAATATAGGCTTCAATATTTCTCGAGGAAAGGAGTTTCCCCACTGCGTATTAGCTACGCAATACGAAGTGACCGTTCTCGAAAGGGAATCTACAACATTCGATTATCATGGTAGAATATATTACATGATCCCACATTTTCTTTATAATGGAAGAATATTTTGTATTAATGAATGAAATAGATATTTGTACTACTACAATCTGTGGTTAAAAATATGACATTGAGACACACGAGATGTCCTTATTTTGTATGTAGGCTATGTGAACAGAATAAGCAGTCTTCTGGTAAAGCACTGTCAATAAGAATGTTAAAAGGATCTTCTGTTGTGTTCCACAGAAGAAAGAAATGCATGTTTGGAACAACATAATAGTTAATAAATGATGACAGATTTTTTTCATTTTTCACTTCTTTATTCACCTGTTAAATTGCAGTGTGATTAGAAGGGCTTATTTTACCATTTAGGCTGATGAATGAAGTTAAATGTCTACTGGCATACCAGTAAAGTGTTTTATAACATTTTGCCTTATCAAGGGGATAGCTTTTTCTTAACAAAACTTAAATACAGCACCAATACAAGCCGATATAACAACACAAACAAATGATAATAATATTGGGAACTACTAATGGATCTAAAGACACAGTATAGCAATGAGTATAAAAGTCTTTTACAGAAAATTTCTTAAAATAAAACTAATTAAAAGGAAGCATCTGTGTTTACTGTGCTTTGTTGTGGTCTAAGACCTACTAATGGTCTGCGTGTAATTCTGAATAGATGCTTGAAAGTATGCAGGAGTGTTCTTTTGTGGTTGGCATATTATAATGTATGATTTTGGTATGAAATAGCTGAAGACAATTCCGTATATACTAGATATCTGGGCCATTGCATTAACAAGTTGAATGTATTGGCTTTTGAGAATGAGGTATGCTGTGAAGTACACAATCCAGCTCACAATGTACAAAATGAGACTGAATGTTATTGATTTAGCTTCATTGTAATCTTTTGGCAGATCTCTTCCCATGTAAGAAAATAAGAGACACAGGGAACCAAGAAACCAACCTATAAACATAACAATGCTAATAGTTATAGTGTTCCCTATTTCACAGCTGAGTATAATCTGGTCTTTAAAAGTGAATGAGTCTCTGAAAGTTTTGGGAGCTGAGACAGTCATCCACAGCACACAAGAAATTAAATGAATGACAGAAAAAAATCCAACAAACAGCCACTGTCCATTGTACTTTACCCAAAGGCTGTGCACGTTGGGGAACTTGGCAGCCATTTTGAAGATACAAACAATTTGAAAGGAACGGACAGCCATACAGGAGAGAAAAACAGTGAAGAAAAATGCAAATATGACATTTCTCAGGAGGCAGTCTACAGATGTGGGGTTTCCAAAGAAAAAGAACACACTTATGCTAGACATTATCAAACATGTTAACATCAGGATAGACATGCCACCACCAGCAGACCTCACCACTGGTGTGTTGTAATTATAGGTGAAAAGGCAAAATATGGCAAAAAGGAGATTAATTAGACATGTGGCAGAAACCATGACAGCAATGGAGGAGATTTCTGTGAATTGAAGATAGACAACAGAACGTGTCTTACATGTCGCGCTGCCCTCATCAGACCATTCACTCTCTGGACATGGAAAACATGTATAGGGATCCCCTGAGAAACAGTAAAACAATATGAAAACATACTTTTGTGATTAAGGTCAAACAGAAATTGATTTTACAATGCATGCTGGTGGGAAATATCTGTGGAAAATTAATTCACATAGATTCAAATGCCGTGGTTTGTTCAAACAATGAAATCATTACAGATGGTATGGTGTGGAATAAAGAATGGAGCACCAGTAAACCACATTAGAGCTCAGCATAACATTGGGAGACGGCACAAAAGAAGAAGATGGGGTATGATGTCCCTTCAATTTTTTTCTTCTTGAACTTGGGTAATCACAACACATTGGCTAATAATTTTGACATTTTATCTGAATATCAACATTAGTGAGATTTATTTGAAGTTGTCTTTTTTTTGTTATTGTCATTTGTGAATTTACTTCATGTTTGCTATTAGGAGTGTTTACATAATAGACAGTCTCTATACGGTTTTATTAATAGTAGATTTGTAGACACAGTAATTATTTTAAATTTGTAAGGTAAAAAATATGAACAGTTACATTTAGACCATGTGGTTAAAATTTTATAATGGAGCTGTTATTTAATTATTTCATTAATTAAATTTACTTTTAAAAGATTATTTATTGTAATCTACAGACTAATTTAAGATCAAATTTTTTTTAACTATTTTTTTACTACAGTACTTGCCTCAAACAAGATTTTTTTTTTTTTGTGCTATAACAACTAAATGTGCAAATGTTTCATTTTATTTCCCTATTAAAATAAAGTGGACTGAAGAAGCTGAAATTCCAAGGTTTTTTCATTCATCTCTTAAAGTACTCACGGGAATAATTCACATAGCTGTTACGTGGACATTTTTTACACAGAAAACAGCAACTATGATATCCATCAGGTTCCCTCGAAAATCCTTCTTTGCACTCAACAGAACAGTTTGAGAAAGGAACCTTTATGGAATAAGAAAATTTGTTATTAAAATTAAGCTAAGTCAGGTAAATGTTTAGATAAGCACTCACCAATAAGATATCTTACCGAACCATTGTTATGCCAGGACAAGAGAGAGTTGTTGATAGTAAAGGTAATTTCTGGATATGTATCATATATGCCAACCATATCAAATAGTGGAGGATTTGTTTCAGTATTCCAGCGTATGACTGCAAAACTGACAGTTGGATCACCATTTTCATCATATTTCACCTGACGGCCGTTAAGTGGGAAGTCCAACTTCTTGATTTGTTCTAGAAGCTGTTGTAAAGTGTGGTAAAAATGTTGATGAATGCTGCTATAAGAATGACTATTACTTTTCCTTAAACATTTCATTATCATCTTTTGATGCATTTACTCACCACGTATGGCTTAACTGTTGTGTTTTTGCTGCATTCATTCATGTCACACTGCAGAACCTTATGTAATGCATGAGCTATGGAATATATGGCAGCATAGATGGCATATGAGAATGTGGGATTTTCATTTATAATCTCCTCTGCGGTCAACGTTGTGGAGCAATTACAATCTTGATTACATGTCTTACTATTACTCTTGACTTCACTATCAGCACTATCATTATGGCCAACATCAGTTGTTCCCCTATCTTTATAGATGAATTCATTAAATCCGGGCAAAGACAACAATCTTTCTGTAATGCCAATAACTGTTCCAATTTTCCCAATTCCTGGCTCTCTTGGAAGCTGTTGATTCATAGCCCATGCTTCACTTGCAATCCATACTTTGTCTTGGATGTTGTTTGCTATGGCTGCTTTGATAATGTTGCTTGCATATTGTGTCACAGCGAAAACAACAATGACATTGATGTTAAGCATATCAATCTTTTTAAGTGTTAGACTGTAGTTTGCCCTTTGACTTAGAGCCTCTTGATAGGCCAAACAAATTCCAGTATTGCGTATATACTTGTTAAAAAGACTTAGGCCGTCTTCACTGTAATCGTCTTGGCCACCAAGAAAGGCAACCCAGTTCCAACCAAACCATTGTATGATGCGAATAATCATTTCAATCAGGTCTTTGTTGCTGGGCACTGTTCTTAGAAAAGAGGGGTACTGCAGTTTATTACTTAATGCATAGCTGGAAGCTCCATAATTCACCTTTAAAAGAAGAGGACAACAGTATTATGTGTTGTAGTATTTCTTTATAAAAATTAAAAGGGGACTGAAAAACATAATTTACCAATGGTATAAGGTCCATTGTGATCAGTGGTGCAATAGTAATAGTTGTTGTGCTTCCATATGGCCCCGTTAAAGCAATCACTTTAGGCTGATAGTTATTGAGTTTTTCTTTGGGTTTTATCGATCCATTTTTTGAGATAAAACTTAAGACTGAAGGGAAATTATTTGTGTCAGAACAATGGTCAAAAATTTCATAGCCCAGAGAAACATTGGGCAAAAGAGTGGTGGAGTTATTAATTTCCTCAACAGCAAACCTCATCACTTGGAACATCTGATAGCCAGATTCTGAGAAAGTATATCTAGAACACAATAGTGAGAAAGTGAATTGCACTTAATTTAATCGTTGTATTAACAAAAAAATTACTTTAAATATTAAATATTGAGGAAATACTGCTGCTGTAAAAAAATTGCTCTCTTACCTGGAACATTCAATAGCTTCTGGAGATAACAGAGGTGTTGCATATTGAACTTCATGTAAAGGAAAAAGGCCACCCAACAAGTAATCTCCTTTCAAGCTGAACTCAGATTCTAAGCAAGAAACTTTAAAAGAGAAATAATTAATAAAGGCAAAAAGGAAAGAGTAAATGCTACTCAGAAGCATGGTTTACGTTGGACCGTTGGTTGTAAAACTGGAATCTGTAGTGGCAATCCATAGAAGTCAGGTTTATATACAACAATTGAATTTGCTTACAACACAATTCAATTTGCTTAAACCACTATACTCACTGATACAAAGTTCAATTTCCATATCTAAACTCAAAAAAGTTTACATCAATCAGTTATTAAGTAGAGCATTACACCACATCAAAAAAACAAAACAAAAAAAAAACAGCGTTTTAACATTACTAACTACCACCATCATTACCTCATTCTTATCAATAGCCTATATCAATATAATCTCAAATGTTAGCTTTAGAGAAAATCAGAGGAGCCAATCTATAGAATAAGTTTCCTAAACCATAACACACACTAATGGATTTCTAATGTCTCTGAAATTCGAGCATTGTTTACAGATTTTATGAGATTTTGTGATATGCTAAGGTCAAGCATGGAGTTGGGTATAAGTGTGGCACTCAATTTATTTAAGAGAATGCTTTGCTGAAGGTGAAGTTGGTTGACGTTTAAAACGGAGGTGTAACAAGTTGCTTGAAACAGGGATCAACACTAGTAAGGTGTTTTGACAAGCGCTTGAACCCCAGCTTCTCAGACAAGGTACCCCTGAGCAACTGGCGAAGGCAGACAGCTAGTGGACTCATATGAAACACAAGGAGTTATAAAGGCATAATAAAATATTTTAAAATAAAATAAAAAAAATAAAAAAAAATAAAGGTCTTTACTTAGACTAAGGCAAAAAGCACAAAAACGGCAGGAGTGTGTCTTTTAGGTCAGGGAGGGTTTAAAGGTCCCGTTCTTCGCGATTCCATTTTTCAAACTTTAGTTAATGTGTAATGTTGCTGTTAGAGCATAAATAATACCTGTAAAATTATAAAGCTCAAAGTTCAATGCCTAGCGAGATATTTTATTTAACAGAAGTCCCCTTTCAAAAGCATACAGCGAACGGCCGGTTTGGACTACATCCCTCTACTTCCTTTTTTAATGACGTAACTAGAACAGTTTTTTGACTCATCTCCGCCCACAGGAATACACAAAAAAGGGGGCGTGGTCTTGTTGCGCTCCCAGGAGAAGAAGCACTTCAGCTGTGCATGCATCTCCAATTTATGGTAAGAGGCGTGACCTTTCCGGGCAACGTGCGATAAGCTGCTGTCGAATCACAACACAGGAACCGCTGGCACAATCAGAACTCGTTACGTATTTCTTAAGGAGGGACTTTATAGAACAAGGAAGTCATCAGGCCGTTTTTTGGACAGTGAAAACAGTGGTATACAGATAAGTAAATTGTGTGAGAAATACTGTGTTTTTTTACACGTGAAACATGAACACATGTTATATTGCACACTGTAAACACAATCAAAGCTTCAAAAAAACACGAAGAACGGGACCTTTAATCATTTTTATTGCAATAGTAAATATATAGACAGTCAGAATTATTGGCACCCTTGATAAATCAGCAAAGAAGCCTGTAAACAAATCTGCATTGTTTATCCTTTTGATCTTTCATTTAAAAAAATCACAAAAATCTAAGTAAAACAATTGAAAGTGAGGGAAAATAGCATTATGTTTTATTACTGTATATTAACATTCATATTTAAAAATTTTAGCACACCAGGGTGACTAGGAACATGAAATTTTCCAGCCAAGTCAAGTCATCTTTATTTATTTAGCGCTTTTTACAATACAGATTGTTTCAAAGCAGCTTTACAGAGATAACGGGAAAATAATGTTGTAATAATATTGTTAAATATAAAATTAAATGTCCCCAACTAAGCAAGCCAAAAGCCAATGGCGACAAAGGCGAAGAAAGGCGAAGAAAGGCGAAGGCGAAGAAAGGCGAAGAAAGATGAAAAGGCGATAGGGGCAAGGAACCAAAACTCCATCAGGTGACAGAATGGAGAAAAAACCTTGGGAGAAACCAGGCTCAGATGGGGGCCAGTTCTCCTCTGGCCAATGAACGAACATTGTATGATTATGATTCAGGCAGCATTATAGGTCAGAATTCAGATTGGATCGGAACATTCACAATATTTATCCAGTTCCAACTGGTTCCATCAGTTTATCCAGTTCAATCATTCACAGGGCTGATGAGGCTGGCACTTCAGGGATGCGTTGTGGTCGTATCTAGGTGCAAGTCCACCATCTGATCTGGATATGGTCCAGGTCCGGCTGATTACAGTTAACCTCTGAATAAACAGAAAGACAAACATTTGCGTAGATGCCATTCTTTTTATGATGTAGCGAGTACATCAGGTGTTATAGGAAGTGTTCCCAGTTTCGGCTGACCTAATTAATGCAGCCTAATAATCATTTAACTGATTTGAATAATAGGAATGTATAGTGTTCTATGTGTATGCAGGTTGAAGAGATGTGTTTTTAATCTTAAACTGACAGAGTGTGTCTGCTTCCCGGACAATGTTAGGAAGACTGTTCCAAAGTTTTGGTGCTAAATAGGAAAAGGATACCGGTACTGCCTCCAGCAGTCGATTTTGATATTCTAGGTATTATCAATTAGCCGGAATTTTGAGATCGCAATAGACATTCAGCCATGACTTCCTGTTTTACAGGAGTATAAAAATGCCAAATTCCCTTAATCATCCATCACAATGGGTAAAACCAAAAATTATACTTCTGGGTGCGATTCACAAAACATCTTAAGGTTAAAACTAGCTCCCCTTATGAAAAAATATATATATTTCCCATATATGAATGATCAGTATATTAAATGGTTTAACAGTATATTTTAAAATATACATATATATATATATATATATATATATATTGTGTTAATATATTAGAATATATTGAATAATGCATAAGGAATTAACACTTTTCATACAGTATATTAAAAAATATGTGACAATATGTTTACTAATATCATAATGTATGTAATTTTATATTCAGTAATACACTTCATAATATATAGATGTATATGTAATCAGATATGGTACTGCATGTGTAATATATTGCAGATATATTTACTCATGCAACATAAACACACATATATAGAGAAATATATAATGTAATATATTTCTTATATTTTTAAAATTATTTACATTATAAATGTTTCATATTTTCAAGCTAGTTAACAAAAGCACATGCATACCTGCATGTGCAAAAGTAATTAGCCAAGAGACAATCACTGTGCTGAGAAGTGCACAGTCATTACTTTTAAAATATAGTAAGTCTTATGTTCGGCCAATCGTCAACCGAACCACAGGCTCTACTCTTCAGCACAATAGTAACCCCGAAAAACCAATACAAGAAAACCTTTCAAATTCCAAAATAATAGAACATTAAACACTAACAGACCCCCCCCCCCCCATATTAATATTGCGCAAAACAGATTAAATAACACTTAAATTTTAACAATTGCTCTCCTTTAACAGTCAGAAGCAAAGCATGCTGGGAACTAGAAATCTGTTGTAACATTCCGTGAATGTGTGTGTGTATATACGTATATGTGTGAACATACATTCACATTTTTATGTGAACATGTATGTGCAATATATGTACACAATAAAAGATAAAACTTTGTGAATATTACATGTAATGCTATGTTTGTCTTCATTTATAAATATTTTATATGTATTAATACAGTCGTGCTCAGAATTAATGGCCCCCCTGGTAAATATGATCGAAACTGGCTTTAAAAAAAGAAATCTGCATCGTTTATCCTTTTGATCTGTCATTTAAAAAAAAGCCAAAAATCTAACCTTTCATTAAAGTAAAAGAATTGAAAGTTGGGGGGAAATCACATTATGAAATAAATGTTTTCTCCAAAACACGTTGGCCAAAATTATTGGTACCCCTAGAATTTTTCACGAGTAAAATATCTCTGAAGTATATTCCCATTAATGTTTACCTTTTTTAGCACACCAGGGTGTGTAGGAACATGAAATTGTCCAGCCAAGACTTCTTGTTTCACAGGAGTTTAAATATGAGGAAACACAAAGGCCAAATTCCCTTAATCATCCATCACAATGAGTAAAACCAAAAAATATAGTTCTGATGTGCATCAAAAGATTGCTGAGCATCTCAAAATAGAAGGCTGTAAGAAAATAGCTAAAGAATTTAAAATCCCCATTTTGACCATCAGGGCAATAATTAAGAAGTTCCAATCAACTAAAGATGTTACGAATCTGCCAGGAAGAGGACATGTGTCTATATTGCCTTAATGGATGGTGAGGATGAAAGTTTGAGTGGCCAAAGACTCTTCAAGGATCACAGAATTGCAGAGATTAGTTGAGTCTTGGGGTCAGAAAGCCTATATAAAAAAAAAAATCAAACAACCCCTACATCACCACATGTTGTTTGGGAGGGTTTCAAGAAAAATCCTCCTCGCTCATTCAAAAACAAACTCCAGCAAATTCAGTTGTCAGACACGACTGGAGCTTCAATCGGCACAGGGCTCTGTGGTCAGATGATAAAAATAATAATAATAATAATAATACATTTTATTTGTAATGCGCCTTTCTCAGACTCAAAGCGGTACAGCATGTACAGAACAAAATAATCAAACATGGAAGTAAAAAATATAGAAGTATCAAAAAAAAAAAAAAAAAAAAATACAATTATAAATTAAAAGCTTGACTAAAAAAAGATGTGTCTTAAGAAGTTTCTTAAAACAATCCACTGAAGCAGCATTTTTTTTTTTTTTTTTTTTTGATAGGGACAATGCACATTA